GGACTAAACCGGTCGTAAGTCGAGGACTAAACCGGTCGTAAGTCGAGGACTTTCCCTGCCCGGGAGCGCCGCGCATGCGTGGTTCTGTACCCTGCGCCGGCCGAGGCGTAGCTGGCAAGCGGCAGAGACGGAGGAGGCCGACCACCAGCTGGCCCAGCCCAAGGGAGGTAAGGCACCCACCGGAAAAGGGGGAAAAATGGCGGACAAAAAAAATGGCGGACAGCCTTGCTTGGCGACCCCCATGAAATGGTCGATCGACCCCAAATGAGGTCCCGACCCACAGGTTGAGAACCACTGTTCTAGGTTGACCGAGTGAAGCATTTCTTGGTATTTGTAAAGTTTAATTTTTTAAAAAAAAGGTTTTATTTAGATGACCTTCAGAACTGTATTATCACGCAAAGTTCTGAAGATAATGCAAAAGCCCTTTTCAACAATTTGCAGTGTTTTACATAAAAAAAAAGATGGTTAGGCAATGCAGCACTTGTAACACCTCCAGGGGATCGCTACAAAATACTTTACAAATGGCTGAAGAGTTGCACAGTTTTCGTTTTCTTGTTTGAAATCTCACAAAACTTCAGGCAAGAAGAACTCTGTAATGTTGTGGAATCCTGGGCAGGCAATTGCTAGTTTTGGCAAGTTTGGGGCAATTTTTATATCTTGGGGCACCTACAAATTGATTGCAGGCATTCCAATAGAAATAATGTCCATTTTTTAAAAAACCATTTTTGTATATAACACTTGTCACCATTTCTGATTATTTAAAGCAGGGGCAGTCAACCTTGGCTCTTTTATGACTCGTGGACTTCAACTCAACGAGTCATAAAAGAGCCAAAGTTGACTACCCCTGATTTAAAACATAATTACTTTGAACTATTGAGAGTTGTTAAGGTGTGCTACACTATTTTGCTTTTGTTTACCGAATATAGAAAGTCGGGTAGTAGCCTCATCATGGTTATGAAGAATATTTAGCACTCTGACTGTTGGCCACTCTATTAAATGTGCTCACATTTTATGCTTATGAGCAAAACTCTCAGCCCTGCCAGTCTGTCACTGTCTGAGCAGTAGCATCATCTGGAGGAAGTTACGACGTGCATGGATTCCCTCCCAGTCCACTGGAGAATCCTTAAAATGTCATCATTTTTACAAAGTTTCCCCCCCCCCCCCAAGTCCTGGCTTGCCAGTGTCGATGTGTGTGCGTGAGAAGGAAAAGAATAGGCCTTTCCAATTAGGCTGTCCTCTGTTTGCCAAAGCAAAAATCTGCTCGTTATTCTGTGAGCATATATTTTTTTTTTTAAAAAAAAATGCAGCATAAGCTGCTAATTTTTACCACTCGCTCTTGCCCTGCCAAAAAAAGTGTTGAGTACTCCTATAAAGTAGCGCTGGTGTGCTTCCTTTAGAAGCGTTATCTTCTATTTGCATAGGAAGAAAATTGGTGAAGTCCTGTAAACATATCCCAAAGTTGTTGGCTTTAATTTCTAGAGAGGAAGCAGGTTGGCAGAGACGACCTGGCGTGGATCTTGTCCAGTCCCGGGATCGCTGCAATCAGTGGCTGGCTGGTGTTTTAGCTTGGGTGAGGCAGGAAGAATTGCTCTATTAATCACACGGGGATTAAAAGCGAGGTTCCTAGTATTTATTATACCAGATCTAGATAGTCCACAAACCTCACATTTCCTGCCATTCAGAGGTCAAGGCTGGCCACTGTGACTTCTCATGTACCTGAGGAAAACTCTATAAAGACTGTGCATCCACCAGGCCTTGTTTGTTACCACTTACTTTGGCCATCTTTGCCCTGCCATAATGTAGTAATTGAAATTAGTGGCAGGAATTCTAGGTTTCTGGCCAGTTTAAAACTGCCCCGGAGAGAACAGCCTTCATAAGGCCTTCTCTGTGGGAGCTCCCACCCTCTGGAACGAACTGCCCCCAGAGATCAGGGTGATCCCTGATCTCCCTTCCTTCCGCCGCGCCCTCAAGACATGGTTGTTCCAGCTTGCGGGACTGGCCTAAGGGATTTTAAAGGGGTTTTAATTACTTTTAATTGGAACAGATTCAAATATTTCTTTTTAATTAATTTTAAAC